ATTGATTGATTGATGAATTGATTGATTGATTGATTGATAAATTGATTGATTGATTGATTGATAAATTGATTGATTGATAAATTGATTGATTGATAAATTGATTGATTGATAGATAAATTGATTGATTGATTGATAAATTGATTGATTGATTGATAAGACTAGTTGATATGACTGATCAGACTGATTTGTTTACTAATTGATTGTATTGATGATGATGTTAGGTGCTGGAGCTGACTTTGTCATGATGGGAGGAATGCTAGCAGGGCATGATCAGTCAGGTGAGTGAACCTTCACATATTATCAGGGTTCATGCTACTCCTTGATGTCGTTGAAATGTCCTGGAATTGAAAGCTGGTTTTCAAGGGCGCTAGAAAGCCCTTGAAAATGGGGAACATCACTGAAACTCCTGGAAAACTCCTTGAATTTGATAAAATTGACATGTTGCTTGTTAGCTTTTGGATTGAATGTGGCTATTTTTGAAAATCACCACTTGAAACGTCWGCAAACATCAAAAAATATCTTCAAAAATACTCCTTGAAAATCTCATTTTTGTGCTTAAAAAGTGCTTGAAAAGTCCTCGAATTTTGTAATGAAATTCTAGCACAAACCCTGTGGTATGCAATCCTTTTATTACGTGTCACCCAGGGAAGGAGGGGGAAAAAACTACACAGTAATTTATAAAAACTTAATCATCCTTTTCAGGAGGAGAACTCATAGAAAGAGACAACAAGAAATACAAGATATTCTACGGCATGAGCTCTTGCACTGCTATGAAGAAACACGCTGGAGGTGTTGCAGAGTACAGGTCTGTTTTCTAAATTGATATCATTAATTTGCAGCTTCCTGTTTGTTGTAATAAATATTTTAGTTGGGCTTTCTTGCCCTGACAAAAATCTTCAATACTTTAGGTTCGAATTCTCTTTTGTGCAAGCTTAGCTTCAATCAAGCATACATTTTCCATATATTTCTCCATTACGTAAAATTGATATTTTCATATTTAATTATATGATAAACAGAATATTACATGGTCGCTTTGAGATACGAATTTTATCTTCTTCACTACGCTCACTCGTGAGAGATCTTTTCAACACTCGAAGATAAAATCTGTATCTCCACACGCCCATCTAATATCCTCTATATATTACATGCTTTCGAGGTTAAGGCTGCACAAATGAGATCTCGAAAGAAGAATTGTTTCACACTTATGTGGCTGGACTTCAGACTGGACTTCAATATCTCAATTTATTTTAGTCACTTACTTACATTATCTCGATTACTTTATCAGGTCATCAGAAGGGAAGACTGTAGAAGTRCCATACCGTGGTAATGTCCACGACACAGCCCGTGACATATTGGGCGGAGTTAGGTCCACTTGTACTTACGTTGGCGCTAGCAAGCTCAAGGAGTTGCCCAAGAGGACGACATTTATAAGGGTCACAATGCAGCTCAATCAAATCTTTTCTTAAATATCTTAAAGGAAAAAATGAAATCTTCTGGAATTGTATGAAMCTTTAATAATTTATGATTACACTATATCAGGGCTCGAAATAACGGCCAGACATATGCAGGACAAGATGTCCTTCCAAATTTATTTTTGGAAAGTCATGTTGAGTTTTGAAAGGACAAAAACTTTATATACTGTTATTTTCTTTTAATTCATAGGTTTTTGTATTTCAGAAAGATTGACAAGCATTTTGATGGATGTAAAAGAATTTTTTAAGGGAATTGAGAATTGATTTGTCTAAAAATGTGGCAGGTCAGTCTGTCCTTTCAAAACCCGATTTGGCTGGTCATCTAGCAAATTTGGAAGGACATTGTCCTTTGACCAGCCGTTATTTTGAGTCCTGAATATGGAATAGACCTAATCGGCTAAGGTGTTGCCATGTACCTAATTAACTGTGAAATGAAGATACAACAAAGAAGCTTACTCCTGGGTAGTTTGAACTGGGTGGAAATGTTTATAGCAACTTGTTAGCCAATTTGGTATATTATTAACACAGATCAATATTATAACTTCTTTATCGATTCAGTTTRAATAACTCAGCAGGTAAAATAATGTAGTATGTCAGGGAGTGCTTTAAAAGATACCAGAGCTGTTATATTTATGGAAATTGTTGTTGAAACGTTTTTGTGTATATTTGTTTGTTAATTTTACGTTTATGCTTTGCTAATGTATTGGAGACTAGAAATAAAGTAATATTTATTCTAGAAWATATTGTCTGTCACTCAATGACAATTCTTTATGATCATGACATAGCCTGCATAGCTGCCCTAATGGTTTGGTGAGGTCGGTGAGGGCTGATGCGAGAGTGGGGAGGAGAAATCTTGGATCCAGGATTTTTCAAAGGGGGGTTCCTCTTTGTTTTCGCATTTTCCTAAAACGAACTTTTTTACTGTGCCTCTCGAACTGTAGCAAATGTAGTGTGAATGTATTGAATAAAAATTCATTGAGGATGCTTTTTCATTTTGTTTCATTTATCATTTATTTTCCTTATGTATGAAACTTACTTCTCTCAGTGCCCAGTCTTCTCAGGTAGAGAGGTATCTAGATGAAAAGGTCCCTCATTGACCCTGTACATTTCACAGGCCTGGGGGGTGCATCCAGAATGAAAGGAGAACTGGGGTGGTCATTACTCAGTAGGACTGGCCTTTATAATCTGGTAATGCTAAAAACTTTAAGACTTTTTATTACAATAGAGCATGGAAAATTTAAAAATGCTATCAATGCAGAATATCTATCCCATAAGCCAGCAATCAGTCAATCAGTCAATGTGTAAATGTATTTTTTCAAGATGCACTTCAACACAAGAGGGTGAGAAATTTTCAACCAATAATAGTGAGGCTTCTTTGGTTTAATTAATGTTGCAGGCTATGCTTGGTATGCGCACCCACTCCACAATTGCTCTAAGTGCCAATGAATGCACAAATATTAAAATTCATCACAAGAAACATTAAATAGAACTCAAAAACTGTATTTCACACAGAAATCAATGCTTTGTTTGTCAATGTATGTATGTTACAAATGCAGCAATTTTTAATTATTACTTAGAGTAATATTGCACAGCATTTGGACATGCATATAGGTACTAAAGTAAAACTGTAGAGTATGTAATGCAGTGAAAAGGAGGATGTTTTTTTGAGTGATAATAAATATAATGCTAGACTAAAATGCACAGTTGTAAATGTACCCAACAGAACAATCTCTAATTCGCTTGGATGAACACGAAACAATGCCTTCATTTCGAGGCTGGAGTTTTATCTTTTGTTGAAAACTCCAGCCTCGAAATGAAGCCATTGTTTCGTGTTCATCCAAGCGAATTAGGGATTGGTCTACTAGAAGCACACATTAAGTTCAAAAGGAGTTTTTAGTACAACCTACTGAAAAATTGTTTTGCTGAATAAGATGATGTCATCAAGGCTAAGCTGAAATGGCATTTTGGGTACGTATTTGAGAATTTGAATCATTTTCCATTAATTTATCTCCTTCTATTCATCCATATATTCATTTATACAACCTCCCGCCATTCAATAATCTATCAATACACRTGTATATTATTAACATTTCCCATCACCCTTTCAGAATTTAGCTTTGATGATGTAGCACATCTTGAGCTTTGAACTTGACAGTATTTTCTTACAATGAGGACTCTCTAACCAAGACCACTCAAAACTGCCCAATTGGGAATTAGTACAAGATGGAACTGATAACAACAAATTAAATATCGTTATCTGGCTCATTCCAGTTCTAACCATACCATAATACCATAATTAGGGGGGGGGGCAGAGCAGTGGACGATCCAAATAACATCTGCAAGGGAAGATTAGGCCATTATAACCTTGAATCGAATGCTGCAATATGATTGGTAATACTTTGTCTCTATTGTACTAGTTAGAGTGCCCACAGTGTAGATGTCCTTGATACCCTTACATCTGATTTCTCTGTTATTTTATAAGTGTCTATAATCTGTCTATATTCAAATCATAATAGCCCAGTACCATGTGGCAGCAGGATTTTCTGAAGTCCATTATTCATACTGTTGTCAAATAGTTTGACAAAATGGTCATAAATTGCAACTTATCCTTCATAGCATCAAGATATGATGGAGCTCATAACTAGGGAAATTATGCACTAAAATAACTAAAGTATTAAATGTACAGTTGTTTTCAATATTGATTTTCTTGACAGTCTTATTGCCAAGCTTTCAAGCACATTTAGATAATTGCCCTATGCCATAATGATGTCATAGTATGTTTACATTGTGAATCTAGACGCTCAGAAAGACTTGAAATTTGGACCTATTAACATTCTTTCCAAAAGTAGAACTTCAATTAGTGTATCAAGTTTTGGTGTACTTCATTTATCAACGATTGCTCATCTACAATTTATGTGACATGCAGTCACTCTGATCCCTTCTGGCGAATATAATCCTTTGTGTTAAAATAATAGAATGTTTTGGTGAGACGTTATTATGTGATAGGGCAATTGTGTAATTCACACTTTGATTATTGTTTTAAGACCAGTTCAGATGTCAACCTTTTGCCTTGTCCAGTCTAATCTTGCATGTATTTCAGGAGAAGTTTGCAGTCTAAACCAATTTCAAGACATTTAAAGAATATATTGAGTTAACCTAACTTCATAGAATCAAACAATGTCAATAAATTCAGAGTAGAAAATGTTCATGAGCTAAACTGTAGCAATTAGCTTAGATGCAAACAGTTCAACATTGTCTGAACTGGACCTAACTCGGAAACCTTCGATCGACATGCACAAACCTCAAAGCTCTTTGAATTTTGCTATATAGTAAGCCAAAGATGCTAGGACAGTGGCATAGCTAGTTTTTTTAAGATAAAACAATTTCTTAGGGGATGATTACATGAAGCGCAGGCTGCCCTGGTTGAATGCACTGTTTTCTGTCAGTTCATTGAACTTGGCCAGCCACCTACATATAATCAGACAACATGTGAATGATCTTCAAGGTACAATTCAATCAGCACTGACAATTGTCTCCTTCACGGTTCCCTGCACCATCTTGAAAGGTAGCCGTGCCTTTGCATCGAAGCGAGGCGACCGTTGAGCGTGCAATGATAGAAACCTTCTTTCACACCTACAGACAATTATTCACAGGTTTCTATCATTGCACGCTCAACGGTTGTCTCGCTTCGAAGTAAAGGCACGGCTACCTTTCAACATGGCGCAGGGAACTGTGAAGGAGACTATTTAGTTCAGGAACCTGAGTTAGCAGATGAGATAAAACTTCTCATATTTGCATGTTTTTTTTTCCAGATAGACACACTTGTGTACTACAATATCGGATCCTATGGCAATATTTTGTCTTGAACTTGTGCAAAAAAGCTCTGCTTTAAATACAAAACTACCAAACAATCAAAATTGCTGATAATAATCTTAAAATACGACCTATACAGTGATACCTAAGTACCAAAAAACAACTCTTTTAAATTAAAATTTTGATACATGCTAAGCAGTGAGATTTTGGTTTGAATTATTGACAATGAAAACTATAGCCATACTGGCTGCAGGAAATGGCCCAAATCAAAAAGAAACTACCAACCTGAACTAAAACTTATAACACTAACATCTAATTTTAATGTCTGCAAGCAATACATATTTGTCATGACATTATTATTATTTTGACGTTCAATAAATTTTGGTTTGGATTGACATGCATGGAAATTATTATAAAAGTGATATAAAGTTCAAATAAAACAGCAGTTTTTCCATTTTCAATTCAAAAATGTGGAAAATTGATCAAATCAAAATGAGAATGTTTTGATCTTATTATTAATAAATATCTGAGGCTTATTATTTTCATGTCATGAAAAAAATGTATTGTTGCTTTATAGTAGATGGTGCAGATGTAATATATAACAATTGAACACTATAACTATATTCATCACTGTCCGTCCAATTTGGTCCGTTTGGCGACGGGTGGACCAGTATCAGATTGAGTGACAGTCTCTGAGCCAGTGTCTAGTCCTTGTTTCTGTGCCATTTCTGACAGCTGACTGGCATACACCATGCCAGGTTGATTCACACCAGGAACGATACCTACTGCAGTGACAAGCAGACCATTTCCAACACCTGCCTGGCCCTGGACACTAGAGCTTGGTACAGCAGATTGAGTAGGCAGTGACCCTACTAATGATGCTGGAACAGTTTGATAATAAGGTGGCAGTGCACCTTGTAAAGACACCGTCTTCCCATCCAATGTTGTCCCCACGATTTGTTGATTCACAAATTGACTTCCTAAACTTGGAGACCGCAGGATGCCAAGTTGTGGATCGAAGAACAACGTGTTTCCTGGAGGAATTCCCGAAGAGGTTGGAATTGCGCTAACCGTGGTAACTTGCGCTGAACTTGGCTGTGCAGCGGTTATAGCTTGAGGGACAGGAGAAGCTGCGGCCACGGGTGGGTTTGGTTGTTTTATAACAATCGTATTTGCAGGTATGGGTGCACTACCTTGTAGTGTGCTTTCCAGCAAAATTTGCGGCTGGTTTGTTGGATCGCTTTGGACAGTTTGTCCAGGTTGGTTTCCAGTTGCTTGTGGCGCTTGTAGTTTAGGCGACGGAACCATTTGTCCTTGTGGAATACAAACGGGAACTGGAATTGCATTTGGTGAGAGGAAGATACATACGTCACCAACTTTAAGATGATTACACGCAAGGTTAAACTTTTGAAGTGATTTTTCTGGAACACAAGATGACCAACCTATGTCCAGCACAAAAAATGGATGCTCGACCGCACAGGAAAGAGTTACCTGATGTGGAATATTAAATGATACCTATTATCATCATCATCATTAAGAATATCATCAACAATACAACAATACAAACAACCCTAATACACAAAAATATGATTCGAAATTCAATAGCCTCACCTGTGTTTTTGAACTATTTATTGAAAATCCAATCAGTGACATACCAACTTCGTCATTCTTCCTGATGGAAGTTACCGTACTTGTCTCAAGTTTAAGTTCAGGACACAAATTTACACTTTGTACAAAATCGTCAGTCTGCAGATCCTCAACTCTTTTAAGTGCGCCACTTTTTAGCTGTATTATTGATCCCTTCTGAAACGGCGGAGGAATATTTGTTGGTAGAGGTAGACCTTGGTTTCCAGGGCCATACATTGCTACTTGGGACTGTTGTGGACCTAAAGGAAGAGGGACACTTTGACCAGGCACTATATACTTAGTTCCACCTAGGCCCTGGCCAGTATGGTACTGATGTAGGGAGGTTGGTAAGGGTCCCATTTGACTTGGTGCCTGGCTAGCTGCCAGTTCTGCGAGCTGACTTAAATTGCTGCTTAATGCTGAAGTGTAGACCATTGAAATGCCATGAGTGACAAGTTTATCGTCCTTGTTTTCGGGAGTGGGATTTGATGTGTTGCCATTGGAAACAACAGGACTTCGAGGTATCATGCCTGAGGCCACCACTATTTCACGCTCTGATAAAAATTGCATGTATTTGCTTAAGGGGAATGCTTCAAAATACTTACTAATTGAGAAACTATGTAGAGGAAAAGCAAAAAATGAACAAACAAAAAAAAAACAAGAAAAATATAAAAAAAAAGAAAAGAAAAGAATGCCAAAAAGAAAGAAAGGTTAAAAATACTTGAAATATTTATTTATTTACTAACTTTTGCCTTAAAAAAGATACAAACGTAAAACAAACAAAAAACAAAAACAATTTCTAACTTTTCTTGACATTATTAGAGAGAATTCAATACAACATATATCCATAAAACAATTTTGTAAAAATCACACAAAATAGTGCTTGAATAAACAATCTAGTGGACAAAGAATTTTGAATTTATTTGCACAATTTTAGCAAACTAGAGTCTGACACTAAAACCATGCAATATGTTACTATTTAAATAATACTTAATTTTGAAGAATCAAATGCAAATTTCTTTGTTTTCTATTGTCTAATCTACACTTTTTAAGCACTGTTTGGTTAGTAATTTATCATGCTTTTAGTGTTGGTTTCTATGAATTCACTCTAGTTATTTTCAATACCTGGTTTATTTTGTAGTTGGTTCGCCATGGTTACTTCAGATATGAACTAATAAATGAGATATTCTGTTGGATATTATCCTGACTTGTGACTGTCAGTCTGTATCTAGAAAAAACAATCAAGATTTTAAAAAATAATGTCTTGTGGCATTCAAAATCATTTACAGTTGAACTTGATCATAGAGGGTGAATAGCTGGATTAGGCGTTAAATTTAGATTCTTGCATGTTGGACGAGGAGTTTATATTTTCCAACCTGTCTGCAAGAAACTACAAAAGTCTCAAGATGAAAGAGAATTACTATTTTTGATTTAAGAGGCAAATGTCCTTAATTCGGAGACGTGACAACATGGCGTGACACAATTCAAAACTAGATGTTTCATGAATAGGAAGATATAATGACTCAAAATGTTCGGAACGTCTGCTTTAACTGTTAGCTATAATACTGTAGCAGACGTTTTGATTTGATGAATTGTAGCAATGTCAAACTTTTGTTGACGTCATCTGCAAATATTGAATTTTCCAATATAAAGGAAAAACCTACAATCGTTTTAAGTTCTAGACTATGTAGTCTTCATATCAGATTTGCAGACAAGCATAATTGTGATGTCAACACTTGTCAAAGGAATATTAATAAAGGTATGACATAAATAACTGCAAATTTATGGTTCAAAAGATTGCATTAATTATATACAAAATTTTGAATGCTTTATAAACACCGTATAAAAATGCTAACGTTTCGGGAAAATCAAATAAAAATCTAGTCGATAAGTGACAAGATTGCGTGACAAAATTTGCATAAGCCACTAAAATATTATGCAAATGCGAATTTCATTTGTCAAAACAGCCACGAAAACTCTCGTCAGATGCACAGAGCAAAACCAAAAGCAAATTCTATAAAATCTATATGATGGATAGTCGAAACGGGGCATAAAAATCTTTTTGAGAGCTTATTGAATTAAATCGATTCAGGAAATAGCTTAAAAACGTAAAATTTAAGATATTAAATACAAATCCTTGCGGGGATCAAACCTGTGTGACGCCTTTTGGTTTGATAGGATTGAAACTACCTTAATAATTATTTCAACAGAAACAGTAGTCAACACATTGAAAATAAATGCATTTTTCATAATAAACTAAAAATGTTGTTTACTGCTTCAAAATTGTACAATTTGTTATTCTAGTCACTGTTATTTTCCCTTGTCAAATGCTTTTGACTGGAAGACTTGTGTATTTGTTACAAAATGTGAAGATAGGAGTGCTGTATGTCATCCAGGAGCGAATAGATCGAGCGTGATTTCACCCACTCGTGAAACTCACGCCATTTCTTTCACAGTAAAAGTAAACAATGGCAAAAGCTCACGATTCTCGCACTTAAAATTAAACGACTTTACTGCAAAATCCATCAATTAAAAACCGAAGAGAAATACTTGTTTAAAAAAACCAGCGTCGAAAAATTCGAATTACGGGGGAATATAATTTGGAAACCAGCGAGAAAAGGTAGTGACAATTTTTGCTCACGCTGGTTTGGTCTGCTTGTACATTCCATAAACAAAGCTTTCAATCTCAGTGAAAAACACGTTTTTTCGCCGGCCAAAAAACCTTTATTAGATAGCGAATCCCTTTTCAGATCAAATTAAAAGTTTTCAATTACCAACTCTATGCAAAATTTGAATGAATATGACAAATCAAGCTTCTTTCCGCGTCCCCCGCACACGGCGAGTTTCAAACCTCATATTACACATTCAAGAAATGAAATGTAACACAACACTCACAAAAGACCAAAAAAATATCACTTCTTTTCCCTCAACTTGCATGGTTATGTCATCCTTACAACTATACAAATAGCAAACAAACAAAATATCCTTACCGTTTTTAATCTTTCTGAGTGTTGAGCTGTCGACACAAACCCAAACTCGAGAAATTGTATTGACGTTACATCGGGTTCATTACGAAGACCAGCCAACTTAACCTTTCCCGGTCGACGAAGTTTACTCAAAATATTTCCACCAAACCCAGAAACCACACCGAAAAACTGCTGCTTTTCAAAAGTTCTTAAATTAATTGACCGTTCACGGCTACAGCCCCAAACTTTGATACACCACAAGAGCTTTCAGCTGGCAGAGACACTTCAAACAGTGGCCCGTCGTCGATCGACGTGAAAGTTGTGTTGTTTGCAAGCCGCTTTCTTCACTGATTTGCCTGATACAAAATTTCTCTGGAACAGTTTAAGAAGAGCAGGGGTTGTCCAACACTTATTAATTAATCACATTCCGTAATTGAGAAGCTTCTCTGGTCGAAAAGAATAAAACTAAAACGAAAAATCGCAGTCGTAGACACACTAGTAATATATTCCTCTTGAATAAATAATTGCTTTGCTTGGCGCCATGTGACAAAGGAAGTCACGGGGTCATGGGAACGAGGCTAAGCGGAAGTAACAGATTCACGAGTAAATAAAATGAGAAAAAATTTTGAGCTTGAAAACAATGCACATTTCTACTTCAATCTCATTTGAACATTTATAATCTTCGTTTTTTTTTTTTGTGAAAATTGAATGTAGGAAATCTCTTTTCAGTTCTCTTGCGTAGAGATTACGTAGTCAGGAATACGAAAGAACACCTTCAAACATATTTAAACATAATACAATTTTTTAATGTATGTAATACTAAATTTCTAACATCAAGCCCAAAAGGGATAAGGGCTTGGCTTGAGACTTCTATGGTGTTACTAAATTGTAGCCATGGTAAAATAAGATGAACTATTCTTTTTGAAATTTCTCTTATCATTTCTAATTTTCTATTGATAAGAAAAATGATTTCCAATTATATGCACTATTATACAGCAAGAACATTAATTTTTTTTGCAATAACAATATTTTGCAAAAGTATGCTACCTGATAACAGGGAAAACAATGAAAATAGAAGAAATGAAAACAACAACAACGACACACAAACAAGGACAAGAAGAAAAAAAGAAAACAATAGATCATTGATTATACCATTCCTTTTTATTTTCAATTATTATCTACAGTAGAAACAGGGCCTGAGTATTGAGCCCTTCCTTCTATTACTGTTTGGATAGTCCAAATGGTAGATACTTGCCTAAGAAGGTCTCAATACATCTATATCTTTCAGGATGTCTTGCTGAAAATGTTAAAAATCCCTTATGTCTAAGTGATGGACAGACTAAAAACAACAAAAATTGATAAATAATTTAAGTGAAATACTACTATTATAAGGTAAAACACTTTGATTAAAAACACGAATTAATGTCAAGTACAAACTAGTACTTCATTATATCAAACAGCATACATAATATACTGTACCGTTGTAATAAACAATGACAAACTTAGCTGTATACAGTTTGTTTAAGTTACTCTGTAATACGTGAAGTGATTTAAGCTGAGTATATGCAGGTTGTGGCGACCTAAAGTCTATCTATCATCTATTCTTAAAGAATCACAACCAGCCGCTGTACCTTGCGAGCCCAAGCACCATTTTGGGTGGACACAAAAATGTTACTAGATTCATAGGATTTCTTAAAGTGAGCGCATCGTCTTCCATCCTTTCAGTTTGGACAGAAATACCTTTAACAAGGTACCTCACAGGTACTGTCAATCTCTAATTGTATGCTTGACGCATTTAAATGTGTGTAAACAATAACACTACCGTGCGCTGTATTGTGGTTGGTTGTGATTCTTTAAAACTTCAGTACAGGTAGGAAAAGTCTCATTTCTATGATAAAAAACAATAGAATAAAAAACTATCCACGTAAGCACAGATTTGAGGTAATTCCTAATTGTTCTGGAATTTTAAGAACATGCAGTCAAATGTATAACAAATGAGATCCTTTAACAAAGATAAGAGTAATTAAAATCATCAATTATCGATAATTGACTCAACCCTTMATCAAATAATTAAATATAGTTCTTTTGTTTACAAAAATATACAACTTACGAGGATTATTTACAAAAATCGTTTTTGATAATAATTACAGTGGTTAAGTTTCAACAGGTCTGATCAAAGACATTAATAGTATTCCAAAAACCAATAAAACAGCTAAAACCACAAAGATTCTTTGAGCTTGGTTTCCATTTTTTGTTTTGGTACTTGCTTTTTCTTCTTGTTGTTCTGTCTTGACTATAGGTTCTTTTTCCTCTTTAATTTTGTTTACTTTGAATTGAAAAAGAAAAGGAATTATTATTAGTTGTATATAAAGCAAGCAGGAGTATTTTATCAAAGTTAAAATCCTGAGTCCAGCAATTTTCTAGAAAAAATCTCAAACAAATGAGTCTTAAATTAGTCAAGTTTGTTTTTGATAAGAAAAAACTTGCAAAGTTCAAGTTTAATTTCAATAAAGGATATTTTGAGAGGTATACACCTACTTGCAGAAACGTTGTCATAGAAAATAGAACATTTGAATTTAGTAAAAAGGAATTAATTAAAACAAGACAAAAGAAAGCGTTCAGCCTCAGTGATCTTCTTTTGTCTTTTTAATTTATTCCTTTTTACTAAAATACAAATGTCCTATTTTTTATGACAACGTTTTCGCAAGTAGGTGTATATGTTTTGTTCTATTCACAGGAACTACTAATGGGCAGATACACAATATTATTGTTGCCCTAAATGAAGATAACATAGCATTGACCATATTGTATTTATCAGAGCTACAATTGTAATTGCTGAGTCATTTTTGTATCCAAAGCCTTCATTTTCTTGAACAGTGCCAAAAATGTTAAGACTCTCTCTTTATGTGTTTGTCAAGTGTGCTTACCCCCCCCCCCCCCCCTCCACACACACACACCCAAAAAAAAACCAATACTCAGGGCACAAGAATTTTGCCGTAATTTGCAAGGGTGTATCTAGGATATCTGGGGGGGAGGGCCCTTACATACCAAATTGACATACCAAATTGTCACTATTATGTCATTTGACACACCCATGGATCCCCCATAGCTAGTGTTAATAACTACCTTTAGGGCTAGGAGGTGGAGGATCTTTTAAGTGCAGAACAATTGTATCTGTGTGTCTTTTAAGTTTAGTGTATRGCGCCTTCTTTGATTTCCTTGAAGGGGACTGTGTTCTTCGGCGCTAGTTATGAGAACAAAATCATTAATACAGAAATCCATAAATGAACAAATAAGGCATCAGGACAAGTGGGATCAAAAATCATATAAGAACATTTATAATAGGAAATATTCTTTTTTTTACATTCAAAGCAAGTAACTGCTTCTTTATTTGAAAAAGGACTCTCTTGTGCAAAGACCTTACCATAAACAAAAGAGAGAATTTAAAAGATTCTTGAAATTACAATAGCATTACAAAAGCAAGGGCAATCAAGGAAGTAAAAGTTGGACTGAGTAAGTGGCTGAATTAGCCTGTGTACACTGGTCCCCACCCCTCCCCCTATGTTGACGTTAAGGGTGAGAATGGATGTACATAGAATAATCGAATATGGATGAACAATATGAAATGAACTTACAGTCAGTCTTGGAGACTCATTTTTCGTCATGCTACGGATGTATTCCCTTACAAGTTCTCTGCAATCACTTAGGTTTGTTTCTGGTTCCCAGGTGTCGTCCTCTTGGTCGAAACCCTTCCATCTTATCAGGTACTGCACTTTCCCATTTTCAACTCTTCTGTTTAAAATACGCTCAACCTTGAAATTCAATGTTTTTTGGAATGTTTAAAGAAAGTAGTCTATTTTGGTCTCCTCCTTGCTGTTTACACGTGGTATGCTGTGACAGCTGTCAAGTCATGTGATGTTGTTATGTATAGGAATTCAGTGTTTTACAGCTCTAACAGGTCAGTAATAAGTCATTTTGTCATATATACAAATTAAATGCTACAAATCTAATCAAATTTGATAACGATTATTTGTAAATTTACAATGATTTCGATCAAATATAATTAAAAAAATAAACTTAGTTTATTCTTAAAATATTCAAAACTGAATTCTTTGTTAAAATTTACATAAGTTTTGAAAGCGAAACCTCCCTGAGTTCTTGACCTTTATTGGACAGTTCGCTTTGAAATCAGTGAACACGATCAAGTGTTCGATTCGAAAGAAATATCATAATGATCAAACGTTCGATTTGGTGTCAGCATAAAAACTAGAATCATCTGTTTATCACCCTCCTAGCTGCTTTCGGCACCGCTGTAAGACAATCTTTCGACGCATTTTGCATTGAGAACAAATCACAATTACTTGAGTTACCTCGAATATCTCGCCTTCGTCGTCGAAACCCATTTTTATCTGCGTGTTTGTTTATAGTGAACCAGTTTCAACGTCTTTGAAAAAGGCGGGCTTGGATGGAAGCAAAAATCACGTGATATTTGCTAAATCACGTGATCATTTTCCCGCCAAAGTTAAACGGGTTAGTACTTCATGGTGGAATCCATATACGCACCTTACCTTCTTCCATGTACCGTAGGTATCAACTGATATACATCAGCATCTACGTTATATCTATAACTATCCTTGAGCATCCATAGCTATCACTAGCTATCCACAACTATCCTTAAGCATTTATAGATATCGCTAGCTATCCATAGCTATACCTTAGTATCCATAGCTATCCTTAGCTATCCATTACTATCCCTGAGCATCCATAGCTATCCTTACCTGTCCATGACTATCCCTGAGCATCCATAGCTATCCTTAGCTATCCATAGCTATACCTCAGCATCTATAGCTATCGTTAGCTATCCATGACTATCCCTGAGCATCCATAGCTATCCTTAGCTATCCATTACTATCCCTGAGCATCCATAGCTATCCTTACCTGTCCATGACTATCCCTGAGCATCCATAGCTATCCTTAGCTATCCATAGCTATACCTCAGCATCTATAGCTATCGTTAGCTATCCATGACTATCCCTGAGCATCCATAGCTATCCTTAGCTATCCCTGAGCATCCATAGCTATCCTTAGCTATCCATAGCTATACCTGAGCATCCATAGCTATCGTTAGGTATCCATGACTATCCCTGAGCATCCATAGCTATCCTTAGCTATCCCTGAGCATCTATAGCTATCGTTAGCTATCCATGACTATCCCTGAGCATCTATAGCTATCCTTAGCTATCCCTGAGCATC